ATAGAATGTGGCCTGTAGAATCCATAATTTCAAACAGTTCCAAGATTGGGCTACTAGTTCAAAAGTTACAGCCCTTTGAATTTTTTGTCGAAATTGGTTTTTTGCCCATAACTTTTGATTGAGACGTCTAATCGAAAAAGTACGAATCGTTTTGGATTCTATGCACCTCTGGGAAGTACCAAAAGACCTATATAACTCTTTCCATTGTGTATTTTTATAAATTTGTTTCTGAAAACCTTCTCGCACTTTATAACCCATTGGCTTGGGTGGACGTACCCTGAAAATAGAAATCTATAAAACATTCTATTTCTAGAAAGCTCTTAAATGGCTTTTATGAAAATTCCATGCACTCCTCCCTCACCGTAGAGCTCAATAATGCTTTTCAAGAGCCTTATAGGTTTGCATCAGCTGGTCCTTTACAGAGCAAAGGAAGTGCCAGGGCACTGTTTGGATACATGTTGACTTTCTAAAGGTGAAAGAGATTTATTTGGAATAGATATAGGTATCTGAAGTGACACTGTCATCATTCATTACCTTCGCTAATGGAATGTGGTTTTGTCTAAATCTACTATACATTTGCATTAGAATTAATAGGTATAAGCAGTGAATAAGTAATCATTACTTATTCAATGGTATAAGCCATTTAAGGGCCCGCTGTACTACGATAGTTCAACGTCATTTGATTGGGTTTTGAATTAAGTACGTGCGTTTTTTTTCAAAATTCAAAAAAATACAGACTAACAATCACATTATCTACATAAAGCAACTAATTTATTGAAAATAAAATCAATGCGAAATTAATGATCAGGTTAAACAGGTTACATATTAGTGACTGAATGGGTATTTCCATTTATTTCGTAGAGTGGTTGAAAATGTTTCATTGGCGGTCACCATTCTACGATGCCTTTCTGTTATCTTTATAAAAGTAGACGCGTTGTGCGAAGAATTCAAAAGGATTAATGTCTTATTTACAGCTGATTTATATAAGGTAATTTACCGAAAATCATCATGAAACCTTGCATTTTCATGCCAACTTTATGTCAGCGAAATGTTAGTTAGCATTTTTGTAGTAATAGAGACATATCGTTTGTTCACGATTTCTGTTACACCATTGAGTGAAATTCGTTATTCAATGGTTACACTCAATGCGTACAGAGGATTGTTTCCATGGTTGTTTAATTTTGTGTGTGAAAAATTCCAATCAAAAGTAACTTTGATCATCGAATTTAGGGGGACAAATTCTACCGAATTTAATTTAGGAAATATACTCATGCCTTTTACAATATTTAAGTGAGTAGCCCCCAAAAAAATAATTTAAAACATTTTAATTATGACCGTTTTGTGGTATTTTTGTAGTCATTAAATATGGTTTTTTGTTGCATTGAATTCGGACAAAAACTGTAGCACTTTTTAAATTACACCCTGTAAAAAAACTTAGACCTATAATAACAATTTCAATTCGATAGCACAATCGTAAATGTCGCGTGGTCAGTTCTTTTCGGGTTCTTCAATGCCAAAACGCTGCACAACTTGACGTCACCTCCTGTCTCGTATGCGTACGACGACACTACTTCCCCCATTTGCTAATTATTCAAAATTGTTGGTACCTTCCCCTTTACGAAGTCAAATTTAATGGGCTACTGATTAGACATGAGGTCACAGACGACTGTCTCATTATGATTTCATGTACTTATTAAGTGTTTCTACACCAGTTTGGTCAATTGAGTTGATTGCGTTACATTTGTCTTGTAAGTATGATGTTAAATCCTTAAAAAAATTAATACCTACAGCACTGATAAAATTTCGTCAAACTTTCAATGGTGTAGGCCATACACGTTATTCCATTTACGTCAGATTCTTACAATCAGCAAGCAAGAAGATGCCCGTTTTAATATACTATAAATTAAATTAATGGCGGTGATTAATTAGTTTAAACATTGCTCATCAGAGATTAAACTATATTTAATTGATAACAGTTCGGAAACTTTGTTTTTGTAATGTGGCGAAATGTTCAATTACCCAGTTACAATCACATTTACTACATACGCAACTATAATAATAAATTGGAAAATAAATGCGAAATTAACGGTCAGGGAAAACAGGTTAAATATTAGCAACTGAATGGGTATTTCCCATACATCTACAGTTCTTAATTCGACATAAATAAATGTTGCCCCTAGTCATTGTTCAGTTTTTAAACAATACTATAATAGTTTCCTTCCCAGAGTGTACGGTGTTAAAATCTAGTTAAAAATGTTTCATTTGGCCACCATTCTACTATGCCTTTCGGCTACATTTATCAAAATAGACGCGTTATCCGAAGAATTCAAGAGGATTAATGTCTTATTTACTGCTGATTTATATAAGGTAATTTATAATAAGGCAACTAACAAATATGAATCAGTTTTGTTTTGACAGGAATTATTAAAAACAAATCCGGAAAATTTCGTTGTCTGTCCACTTTCCATCGAAACCGTTTTAGCAATGCTTCACGCTGGAGCTGGTGGAAGAACTGCAAAAGAACTGGCCGACGGTTCCAAAGTTCCAGACAACTCCATTAAAGTACAAAACCTTTTCAAAGAATTAAAATTGCAAGAGGAACAATTATACACACTGAGGAGTGTCAATAAATTGTATCTCGCCAACAGATTTAGTATTAACGGTAATTATAGAGAGATAGTCAGGAACGTATTCAAGGCAGAGATCGAAAACGTAAACTTCTCCAACAATGAGAACGCCGCCCGAACCATAAATTATTGGGTCGAAAATCAAACTAGGAACAAAATTAAAGATCTAATCAAAGCTGAGTACTTAGGGCCTTACACTGTCTCGGTATTGGTGAACACTATATATTTTAACGCCGATTGGTTAGATCCATTTGATTCGCTACTCACAAAAGAGAGTCGTTTCCATCTAAATAGAGCGCAGCAGGTGGACGTAGAAATGATGCGCACTGTCTTAGAGACACCGATTTACGTCAACGATGAGCTAGGTGCAACTTTTTTGGAATTACCTTACAAAGGCGAAGACGTCTCAATGACCTTTGTGCTACCGCAAGAATTTGAAGGTATGCCGCGGTTAGAAGCTAATATGCAAGAAGTCCTTAAAAGGCAGCCTTTTGATGATGTTCGACAAGTGACAATAGCGATTCCTAAATTCAAAATGGAAACCTCAATTTCTTTGGAACCTATTTTGAAAAATGTAGGTGGGCACCCATTATATTTGACACAATTTGGTCACAGTATCTTTGCAGCTTGGTATCCGAGACGCTTTTACAGGATCGGCGAATTTTAGTGCAATGACCATAAACGACCACAATGTATTCTTAACTCGCGTGGAGCAAAAAGCCTTTATAGAGGTAACAGAAAAAGGAACGACTGCAGGTGCCGCTACCTTCGCCAGTAAGTTACGAGTTTTACGGGTGGCCTAACTGGTTATACGTTTCTTTCAGTTTCAGAAGACAGAAGTTTTGGGGCCACTTTCATAGCAAACCGCCCTTTTATTTACATCCTAAGGCATAACACGAATGGCATTTTATTTGTAGGGAAGTTTTCCAATCCTGTCGGTACAAAGGTATCGGAGTAATATTTTAACTAACATTAGATCTGTTAATTAGTTTATGAAATAAAATTATTGTTATACAGTAAAATTGCAATAGTCCATTTTCTTACATTTTAGATCCACAAAGTTATTGGGGTGCAAAGCCTCAAACAAAATTTTTCAATTCTGCTGATTATAGATACATGATTAAGCTTATGACCAACGAGCTTGAAAAGTAGTGGTCCTAAATATGTTTCATTAGAAACTGGTACAAAAATTGAATTGTTGAATCCTTTAAGATCGATTAATTCAAATTTTACACATCCAATATTTATTTGATGAAACAAGTTAATCATAAATGTACAGAACTAACCTTGCATTACAATTCTTCACGTCCATGGAAACGGTGGAGACCCTTAACCTTCAGATAGAGCTCGGCGGAGAATAGGACAGTTGTTATCAGATGTTTTCTCTTAGGGAAGGTGCATACGACGGACGTGTTTCATCTTCAGCGCGTAATGACGAGTTTACTCGCTCCACAATTTCTTTCAGTAATTTTCTGAATGATCCCCTCTTCTAATTATCAAGTTAATTTTTTACGCCCAAAAAAAGACGGAATATTTTTAACATAGCGATACCTAATTTTTATTGATTAACTTCTTTGTTTCCACCAATACGAAACGGCTTCTGGATCTTAAAATTCCAAAGCCTGCATTTCTCATGGAGTAACAGTGATCTAATGCTGACTGGTAATTGTAATTACACAAGGCTAATTAACTAGAGAAAGAAAAAGACTGCTAATTTACAGCGACACTATTTGTCTGGGAAGATGTTCTAGGACTTTGACATTTTTTACACCTTAAAAGTATTCCGCGGGAAAATACCGTTACAAAACAACATTTTTCCTGCATTTATCAACAACCAATCCAAGTGTCAAAGAGACAAGATACGATTGGAAATGTATATTATATATATTAGCCTGTGATACTTGCTGCACAAAATTATTTTAAATGTAAAATGTTAAGCTTGTAGTATTTGTGAGCCTACTGTATACTTATTTTACTTGACATATCACATGTTTTCTGTATAAAGCCGGTTGGACAAATAAATATTATTATTATTATTAATCACTATGGGCCAATACAATAAATGCACATGGCTAGGGTTGAAGAATTTTTTTGACTTGAGTTGGAATTTTTTGTGCATTAGGTCAACAAATATACAGGCGACCCGCGTTACCCTTAACCATGCAAACATCAAGTATTTGTGACTTCAGTATGTTTTACGATCATTGGCAGTCATATTTAATGGGTATTAATAGTGGTTAATTTTATGAAATATAATAGGATTTGAGGTTAGCGCAATTAACAAAAAAAAACAAATATTTGTCTTAGTACCTCTTCATTTACATCCATTATTAGTTAACAGAATGACTAGCACTGTTTGTTTAAACATTCTGGGTGTAACAATATGTAAAGATATACAGTAAGTATTAAAAATAGAGCCAAATAACAAGTGTTTAAATTAAATCAGAACAACAACATTCGCTTAGGAAATATTACATAAAAACGGTCTACTAGAAACTAGAAAGGAATTCTACAGTACAACCGATAAGAACTCTAGTGTTGCAGTTTCAGATAAGCGTCCTCAAATAGTTCCAATTCATGTAAAAGGTAATTAGCTTTGTTTCGTAATACCTTCGCACGGCCTGCGGCGTTTTCTAATCCGTTCACTTGGGTTTCTAACTCTTTAAGTTCTTTGTCCATTTCACTAGTAGCCTCATCGACAAGATGGCACAGACGCGCGAAGCTTCCGCTCAACTCCTGCTGTACTTGGTGGCTGCAATTCGCCGAAGTCAAATCTACTATCATTCGCAGTTTTCGCGTTGCATGCGCGACGTACTGCTTCTTGAACGATTTTTCCTTGGCCTTATTTGTCCACGTCAACCGTTCGTACAAATACAAACAGGAATATACAGTACCGGTGAATATGATAATTCTCCAGCCCACCGTCTTTAATAAAACTCCAGCTAGTAACAGACCGCCCATTGTACCCTGCGAGCTTGCGCTCGCCAAGGCCATTTTGGTTAAGATGGACCAATCCTCAGTGCTCGCGCTACCCAACAGCAACCTTCCGTCCAAAGGTTCGGTCGGTGTCATTGGGATGAGCGAGGAAGTGGGACTTTCGCGTTTGTTTTTAATTGTAAGGGCGGTATTTCCCCGCGAGAATCTCTGTATTAACGCCGTTATTCCCCACGAAAATCTAAATTCGAGATCTTCGCGGAAATCTGCGCATAAGTTATCACAATTTAATCTGTACAGAATCTCAAACGGTTGCCTTCGCGGCGCTATGACGCCGGTCATGCCGCGTTGCGATGGCGGAATTAGCGATTCGACGCGGTCCGTCATTTCCTGTTGACTGGTTTCCATATTTAACGCTAAGGCCGTCGATAATCGCGCTCTCAGATTTGATCCTAAGCCATTTTCGACATGCGCATGTAGTTCCTTTTTGTAAACGTTTAACACTAACGGCTCCGAATGGAAAGGTAAATTAAACTCGTCAACGAGATTACTTAATCGGCGAATCTCTTCGTTCAGCGCCTTCGAAACGCGCTGCTCTACGTCTTCTACCATATGATGAATTTTTTGCTTCATTTCGTGAGTTATCAGCATCAACTGTTGCTCGGTGTAATTCATTTTATCGTGAAGGTCTTTTCGTTTTTCTATCTTTTCATCTTTTATCTTTTGAGCATCTGTGTAAATCTTATCCAACGATTCCTTCAACTCGCTGCAAAACGGGTTGAAAAACTTATCTTGCTTGTTCAAAAATCACACAAACACATCACCTTTGGTATGAGATTTTTCGATTCAATGCCCTGTAGGAAGAATAAGAAACACAATGCATGTTGCACCAGGTGCAGATACAGCTTTTCAATAGGTTTTAAAAACTGACAAAGATTCCTACTCTCTGTCCACACTACACTAGACAGCCAACCCTAATGCGAGTACATTTATTTATTTATTTATTATCCCTCTCTTGTTCTGGGCCCTCAACAGGCTTGCGCCCAATTACAGAGTGACCCGCATAATACTTTTTTGAGTAGGTACATGTGGTACAGTGTTAAAAGAACTTTTATTATTATATTATTCTTTAAGAGTTGCGATCAGAATTCGATATACTTACCAAACCAACGGGAAAAAAGGAAACATATCTACATTTACATTTTCCTAAAGGAAAGTTTCGCTATTGGTCAACATTTGTTTAATTTATCTTCAATATCAATATGCGGTTTTTTTGTAAACCCAGTTAATGATCGGTACCATGTAAAAGAGATGGGAAGCAATTGGCTCAATTTATTCCACTTCTCCTAGTGGAGTTTTATGGAGTTTTTTTGACCAAAATCACGATTACGCGCATTTATTTAAAAATGAAATAGATACGGCAATTAAGAGTGCAGAGAGACCCCTGCGAACGAACGCCTACACGAAAACCTAATCTGCAAAGATACTCCATTGTTTTGAAAAATATCTGGGATACAGTAGTAGTTCGCCCAAGGACAGTTTACTTATGCTGAAAGATAAATTATGGGTGAAATTTATACAGGCGTTGTCTATCTAGTGTAGTATTATTTTGCTCTGTCAGTTATCATGTACAGGGTGGCCAACTAAGAATGCGAGGTACTGTATCTGAGAATCTATCTATCATAGAGGCTTGCGGTAAAAAAATTTATTACTAAAACGGCCACGAGCAAAACCTGGAAAATATTTTTAAGTTTCTGAAATGGCCGCTAGGGGGCGTAACTGCAATCTAGAATCTAAAAAAGTGATGTTTCTGTGAATTCCGCTATATTAACCTAACAAAAAAATGTCCGGTCTTTGAAGTCGACGATAATCTGAACAATTTTTGTTCGACAATTTTTCCTGTATCTCTAAAAATTAAGTGGTGGGGGGTATTCAAAGGTTTCCGTAAAGAACACCCTGTATCTTCGAAACGACTGAGCCGATTTTAACAAACTCGAGTTAATTAGAGAGGGCTATTCTTCAGCTACAAATATTATACTATTTAAAATTTTGTTTTCACATATCACCGCTTGAGAGCGTTTTTCGACATTCCGACAGAAATGGTTCATTTTCTCAAAAAAATTAAATGCATTGGTTGAATTTTTTGTTCATGAAAAAGTAGCTAAATGATGCCTAAACAAGTTCGCGAAAACAGCATCTCGATATCTTGAGATATATATATATATTTTTATATCGTGATGGCCAGCATTTCGAGCATTTACAGCGACATTAAAAGCTTCCTTTTTTAAATCGATCCACCTTAGGGCAACAAATTATATAAGAAAAATAATTCCGGAAAAATTAGCTTAAAAAAATAAAATTTTGAGGGTATACAATTTTCTTTGGCCTAAATTTTAGGTTAGGAACAAGATATCAAGATGCGGTTTTCGCGAGCTTGTTTAGGCATCATTTAGCTACTTTTTCATGAAAAAAAAAATCAAACCAACCCATTTAATTTTTTTGAGAAAATTAACCATTTCTGTCGGAATGTCGAAAAATGGCCTCAAGCGGCGATATGTAAAACTAACAAATCTTCAAATATTATAATATTTGTAGCCGAAGAATTACTCTTTTCAATTAACTCGAGTTTGTTAAAATCTGCTCAGTCGTTTCGAAGATACAGGGTGTTCTTTACGGAAACATTTGAATACCCCCCACCACCTCATTTTTAAAGATACAGGAAAAATTGTCAAACAAAAAAGGTTCAGATTATCGTCAACTTCAAAGATCGGACATTTCTTTGTTAGGTTAATATAGCGGAATTCACAGAAAAATCACTTTTTTAGATTCCAGATTACAGTTACGCCCCCTAGCGGCCATTATAGAAACTTAAAAATATTTTCCAAGTTTTTCTCGTGGCCGTTTTAGTAATAAATTTTTTTACCACAAGCCTCTAGGATGGACAGGTTCCCAGATGCAGTACCTCGCATTCTTATTTGGCCACCCTGTACACTGAAACTGTAGATGACTACAGAAGTCAACCCAATCGAAAAATTTCACATAAAGGACGAAGTCGGATTAATTTCCGGGTATCTTTACTTACGTAGCAATAAATCGCCCGCGCTGAGTGTGCTGTTCGAATTTAGTCTTTACGGCCGATTTCGAAATGCACTCCTCAAATTTACGTTCGAAATCTTGAAATTCGAAATATCTCGTTTGGAAACCGTCGGCCAAGGGAGTGGGACTAGTGTGACCTCGTTCGGACAGTCTCGCGAGTAAAGCCTCCTTTGCGGATATGAAGAAGATGCGTTCTTCAGCCTCCTTCGCCGTACAAACTTTCAGTTCCTTAACCAAGAAGTCGATCGCTCGTTCCTGGTGCTGTCGCCGTACCTACAAGTAAACAAATTAACTAGAGACTGTTACCGCAAGGTAAATAAAGCATTAACAATCTAAACTCACCTCGGCCTGTTCATCCCATTGCTAGTAAACGAATAAAACATAATACATGTTTTAATTAAGTACACATAAACATTAAGTAACTGAGTAGACAAGTCTATGGAAACTCGTGAGTTTGAATTTACATAAACTTCCATTAATAAAGAGAAACATAATTTATATCGATGTGTTTAAAATTTAAACGAAAGCGCCAAAGAAAATAAAACACTTACTTGGTCTAAAAATTCAGGCTCGTTTGCAGATGCGTCCCATCTATTATTTAAGATGAAAATGTTTGGTTTTGAGAGACGAGTGGACACTTTGTGAAAGAAATTTTTTTCCTGTAACAGATTACTTTTTTTAACGTTTGTATAATATGTACACTATTAATTGAGTCTCATTTTTAGGATGCGAGAGGAGAGGCACAGCTCAGCCAAATGAACAATGTGTATGCTTCGAATGAAGTATATTATAGTACCTACTTCAATTGTAAAAACCTGTCAGATGAGCAAGGTGCCTCTCTTCTACTCCTTTATCAAGCTGCAATACTTAAAGATTTGCTTTCAACTGTTCAAATTCTCAATATTAATCATTTTGAGATTTACACTCACTTACCGTAACCATCAGTGTTGACTCGGCATTAGCCACCAACACAAAAACATCCGCATCCAAACAGTGTTTATCAATCCACTCGTCCAAATTCGGAGACACATCTACACCAGGCGAATCGACAAACACAACATCGTCTCGTAGAAGAACACATCGGTTTCGTGGCCAATACACTTTCACCAACTGAGATTCGTTCAACTTTTCCTTGCATAAGGCGTGCGCCAGTTGCCCGACGGATTCCACTGCACAATGATCAGTAGAGCCCTCCAGCACCAGGTACGGTTCGTCAGTGGGAGATCCCTCGACCTAAAAATGGCAACTAAATCAAATTGTACCTCACGTCAATTGTGTACTTGTAAAAAACAATTTGTTGTATGGCCAATTCCGCTAGGTAAAATTTTATCCCTTAACATTGCATTAATAACTGAACTTTTACCATTTGAAGTTCGACCGAAAAATGCTACTTTCATGTGATCTCGTGCCAATACATCCTTTATTCCCAGCACTTTTGCTTTAAATGTATCGATTTGTTTCACTTGCTCTTTGTCTATTATGTGCTGATCTTCCTCTATTTCTACAAATACGAATTATAAATGTAACCGAAGTCGTTCACTTACTTTTCATATAAATGACGGTATCGTTAACATAATCTTCAATTTCCAAAAATATGTCGTTTATTTTCTTTTTAGCCTTCACAAAGATCTGCAACGGAGAATTGTCAGTCGAAGGGGTTCGAACTGTTCGGTCGTTAAGCGTCGATAATGGTGCCCGATTATGGGGACCATCACCGGCCATCATAGAGACAGTGCGATTTAAATATGCAGCCATGCTCGAGTGCTTATGACATTAGCCAAGTGTACAACTAGCATGCGGGGGCAAGTGGCAACTGAAACAAAAAGAAAATAATTATTACAAGTACACTTTTGAACCTAAAGCGTAAATGCCTACAGATAATAAAGCTCATAGTATAGGTATGCTTTCAAAATAACAAAGACCTTTTCGTTCCGTGGCATCCTGCTTCGACAAAAATAACCTCACTTTAGCTGCAAGTTTCACAAATATGAGAACTAATAGAGTAACTAAATTAACTTACTTTGTTAACAACGGTTGCAGTACAAATGCGTATAGTTAATTCCAAAAATAAATAGAAGTATAAATAATACAATAACCTATGTAAATTCGGGTATGATTCGATCTTCTTATTTAGAAAATTACTAAACAAATGTTTCATATGACCTAGCAACGGATAGTTAGAATTGTTTATAACAAATATTTAAATACACACAGCTTACTTTTTGTATTGATTATGTAATATTTTATTATTTTAAATTGAGCACGAGACCATTTCTATCAAAACGTTAGTAACTTCTCTAATTTTCTAGTGCAATTACTGCTCGATTTTGGTAACACTGCGAATATGATGGCAAACTGATTGATGTACAAGGTGTACGAATACTAAATGAAACCAGGCCTCTAATCATTTTTAAATAAAGGTTGAAGGGCTTTGCAATTTTATTTACACTCAAAAGCGGTATCTTAGTTTTGGTCCCTGTACCGCGACCTTCTAGCTTTATTTTTACCCCCATCGAGCATTCCCGAGTGCATCTTCCTTCCCTCTATGCAGTATTTTTCTGGTCCTCACCCCCGGATAACTTTCGCCTAGGAGGCTGTTGTCCGGTTACAATGAATAAAGAATACCCTTATTCATTGTCCGGTTACCTGGTAACTTGTCAGTTCTACCATGCAATGCTCTGAAATTAGGGCAGATGAATTTCAGTACTTGCACCTTATCTTCCGATAACCCCATGCTTTATCGCTGCCCTTTCTATGCACATTACTTTTTAGTACAAACTGGAGCAAAAGAAGGAATCATTAGTGTTTAAAGATATGAAAATAAGTAGCAACAATTATGGTTAAACTTTATAAATATTTTACAAATAAGAAAGTTGATTATGTTTGTTTTGTGTATATGTTACAGGGAAAGTGCGAAATCAGGTGTTGTATACTCTCCCTGGTGATTGTACACATTTACTAAAAAGACTAGTCAAAGTAGGATCCAATTCAATAAACCTACTTTCACTAGTGATTTTATACAATTACTGTTTGTCTCTAGTGGAAATAAAATGCCATTTGGTATATTGCACAACGTCACATAAACATAACCTAAAAGCTGTTGTAACGTGCGATTGAGACTGTTTTGTTTGTGTGTGTTTTTCGTAGTTTATGTCAAATTCCAAACGATGTTTCTGCAAAAAAACAAGAAAAACTGTGCAATTCTAAATGTCATGGTTCATTGCCTTGTTGTCACAAATAGCATCTTCTTCATCATCTTCTCTATACCCATCCATTGTTACCTTAGAGTGGGTATATTACTTATCCATTAGTACTTCGATCGATACGTTGTTTTGAATTGTATGTATAATGCTTGTTTCACAATAAATTTTATATTAACTATTACAATTACTGATACGTTATAGTGATTGTGTAGAATACCTAGTGATTTTATACATTCTCTAGGAAATGTGATAATTCGATATTCTTTTGAACCCGATTTCTTACTTTCACGAGTTTGTTCAGTGAATGTGTACAATCACTAGTAATTTCATATAATCACTGGATTTCGCACTTTCCCTGTAACATATACACNTTTTCTTTCGAAATTGGTTTCTAGTCTATAACTTTTGATTGAGAAGTCTGATCGAAAAAGTACGAATTGTTTTGGATTCTACGCACCAAAATTAATAAGAAAAGATGTTTTCCCGAGAAATTTTGGTGCAGTCGATTTTTGGTAGAAAAGGAAGGTTATATATACACTGCCTTTTTTTGAGGCCCTCAAAAAAAATTGTCTCAGATCGACCCGGAAAAAATTTTTTCTTATAGAATATGGCCTGTAGAATCCATAATTTCAAACAGTTCCAAGATTGGGCTACTAGTTCAAAAGCTACAGCCCTTTGAATTTTTTTTCGAAATTGGTTTCATTTCATTATTTCAATAATTATTATTTACCACGTTACATATCTGGTAGATGTGGCACGTCAAGCATAACATAACAGTCCCGCAAATCCCGCTCCGTTTATGTGCGGGATTAATCTCGCAAAAATGCTGCGGGATCCCGGTTTTTCGGGATCCGCAACCCCGGTATTGCATTCCCTACGTACACTAAAAATGTGTGTTTGTTTAATAGATCATGTTTAAAGGACTTACTAGCAAACCTATAATTGCCACAAAAGTTTAGAATCCCTTCCCGTTTTAAAATCTCGTCGTAATTCGGTCTACTCTACACTACATAAGAATATCCAATTATGGTGGTTGTGATTTTTGTTGTAGATCAAAAACTTGGTTTCTTTAATAGATTATGTTTAAAGGACTTACAGCCAACCCTACATAGCAATACCTTCCCGTTTTAAATGTTCGGCATTTTTAATGTAATTCAGTCTTATCGCTAAATAAGGATGTTCAATTGCGGAGGTTGTAACCCTACAATGTCACCAAAAGATACAATTCTCTCCCGTTTTAAAATCTCTGCATTTTTGAGGTAATTCGCTCTTACCTACATAGCAATATCAATCGAGAGGGTTGAAATTTTTGATGCACACCAAAAATTATGGTTTCTTTAATAGATTATGTTTAAAGGATTTACAAAAAACCCTACAGTTGTTACCAAAGATACAATCCCTTCCCGTTTTACAATGTCTTCATTTTTTAATTTAATTCACTTATCTACATAGCAATATTCAATTGAGGGGGTTGAAATTGTTGTACACGAAAAATTTATGTTTGTTTAATAGATTATGTTTAATGGAGTTACTAGCACCCCTAATTACCACCAAAGACACAATCCTTTCCCATTTTAAAATCTCATAATTTCTAATGTAATTCGCTCTTACCTAAATAGCAATATTCAATTCCGAGGGTTGAAAATTCTGTTGTACACCAAAAATTGTTGTTCGTTTAATAGATTATGTTTAAAGGACTTACAGTCAACCCTACATAGCAACCAAAGGTTACAATCCCTTCCCGTTTCAAAATTTCGTAATTTTTAATGTATAGATCCAAAATTTAGTTTAGATTATTTTTAAAGGATTTGGAAAGAACCCTACAATTGTCACTAAAAAATACAATTCCTTCCCGTTGTAAAATCTCATTTTTGAGGTAATCTTTCTTACCTACATAGGTAGGTACATAGTCCAGGAAACGAAACTTAAAATACTTACAAAAAAGGCGTTAAGTTCGTACCCCCTTTAGAAATATTGAATAATTCTGAAAGGAAAGACGCACAACACGTGAGTATTGGAGCACAAATCGGCATAAAACAAGCCAAAACTATGGTAACTATGTAGGTGTAGGACCCCCAACGGACAATTTTGATTTTGTCGTAAACGGGAAGCGTACAAAATTTGGGGATTAACAAATTAGCACAAAATGAGCACAATATCTTGGCGATGTTACAAATTGTGTGCCCATTTAGGGGTGCTAACTTAATCCATCTCAGTTTGCGTAGGATTGATACTGTTTATGACGGGAAGAGTTGATATCTTCAGACTATAAATGACTAAATTTTATAGTTTTACTGTCCTCCAATACCAGAAATTATAAAATCCCATCCCCACAGATAAAAAGCAACTTCAAGCGAAAATATTCTTATATTATCAGTGTTGCATTTTAAGTACCTACGGGAAACAGTATAGCATTTATTAGTTATGCTGTGCAATGCGCCAGCTTTGTGTATTCTGCGAATATTGTAAGCCGTAGTTAATGGAAAGACCCTTCCATGAACGTTTTACATGCCTGTAATCCTGCTTTCAAAAATCTGACATTACGCAATCGCAATTGTAGTTGTTATGAGAAAAAATACCGTAGCAAATGCGCGAAATGAGAGAAAACAAATGAAAACATAGAGAGGGATGGGAATTGTTAGAATCGCGGATACCAGGCGGTCAGCCGGAAACTCACTTTAATAAAGTCGAAACGTTAAAGTACGACACAACGGAAGTAAATCATTCACGGTTATCGACCAAACCTGTCCACTTTGAAGCGGAAGAGTCAATAAATTAAAAGAATTTAGAAATGAACTGAATTTTAAGCATCGATTGCAGGAAGACTCGCTTCCACTATTTTGGTCTCCGGAAACCTCGTCGGGAACTCCAAGAAAAGCTCAACTGTGAAAGATCGATTTGCTTCACCCTGAGGGAGACTCGCTTCCGTGTAAATTATCCCCATCAGAAGATTTCGTGCGAGACCAATTTTTGAATGGTCGACCTGGAGTTTCCGAAAGTGAGCCGCTAGTTCGGGGGGTTAGCTCCAGGCCTTCTGGGGGAGGACTCTGTGTATGCGATACAGGCATTAGTGAATTTTGTGTTGGATTTTTTTAAATGTTTTATATGGAAGTACAAAATATGTTAAATTAAGGGGTGGTTGTTTCATGTATGAATTATATCGCGGAATGTTTAAAGGGTAGGGTTAGTGAAAAAGTGGCAGTGTCCAGATCGAAATGGTGGAAAATCTATCAAACTATGCGACCTATTTTGATGAGATTAATGTGAAAATGTTTGGAAATTCGTTGCTTTATTTTTTCCTCGTCTAATAACTGGAAATCAATTTGCACTAAAAGTCCGCAGGCATTGAAAGTTTATTTAATTATACTTCCTTCTTTAATGTGGGTAATTGCTTATGCAATGTTTGTTATTGAATTCCCCCGACAAATATATGCATAAAAAATGTAAACACGACCATTTGAGCCAAAATTACTCTTTAAAAATTTATTCCACGTTAATATTTAAAGTGGATGTCCATAACTTAAATTGCAGAAAACGGAGTAACAATCTCAGGAGCTTTAACGAGATATTTTGTGGTAAAACTGTCATCATTGTAACTTCCTGTGTTTTTTGTTAGTCGGTCTTAAGGAGCGTTGTAGTGGTTCAATAAAGCTTCCGCTGCTGGAAAACACCTCGTGTTCTTCCTTTTTACGAATTTTCCTCGACATCAATAAATTATTAGTGCCAAAAACTTCAGATCAAATAACGATGGAATGCGCCAATGCGACGTAACAAATTGCATAACGGAGAAGATCCTCTTTTGCTATTTTTCACTTAAACGGGAATACTTTCCAAGTATGGAACAGTGTGGAGGGTTATTTGGATAAGCGAATTAAGGAATAACTTTTTTTGAATTTTAGCAAACCGGTGCGGTGTAATGGAATAACAATTAAATTATGGATTTGCGCATGACGTTATGAATTAAGTGAAAAACAACC